CTCCTCCCCACCCCTCCTCTCCTCTCCCCTCCCCTCCCCGGCCGGCTCGGGGTTTGGCGCCCGCCCCACCCCACCCCTCCTTGCCGCAAAACCGAATCCCTTTCCCGGTTTCGTAGCCCACCTGGAGAGAGCCCCGCGCGCCCCTCACTTATCCATTTCACCCCCGACGGTGCCCAACACATGCGGTTGTGTCCCAGGAGCCTTCTCCTTCAAATTCCCTTCCTCCCGAGTTACCAGCACTCTTTGCTTTCTCCTCAAGGCTTTTTGGGGACGCATCCCGCCCACCCTACCCTTTCCTGCCTGTTCTTTTTGTGATTTGCACGGGGGGGGGGGTGTTCCCTAGCAAACTTGGGCTAACGCAGCAACGTGTCTCCATGACCAGTTCCTGTTCTCGTTCTTTCTTCTCCACCTAGACCTGCTTTCAACTCTTCCAAACTAGCCTGATTAGGTCGGTTGGCAGCTCCGTTTCGGGATATCCTTTTTGTCTGAACATGTAAAACGCTGCTAGGGGAAAAGCTACATCCTGACCAGCAAGCCAGACCCCAAGCCGCGGTTGGGCCTCAGCTTGGGGGGACCGGCTCCTCTGAGGAGGTGTAGGAGTCCCCAGTTTTCCCTTTGCGGACACATTTCACTCCTTCCACCCCACCCCCACCCCAATTTGAGAGCTCCTCTCGCTCTCCTCGCCTTTCTTTCCTTGTATTTACAGAGGTGCTGCCTCCGTTGGAATGCTGGTCTGAGAGACTTTCTCCCGAGCCTGGTGCTTCCCCTCCAGTGGCGATGTGCTCTTGCAACTAGGGGGCCCCTTCGCCGTGGAATACTCGGTGCTGCCGGAAAGGCAAGAGTCCGTCCCTTGCTGAAAACAAAGGCCCCTTCCGAGAAAGAATTGTTTGTTGAATGAATGAATAAACAAACGAGTTTGACCTACTGCTCTCTTCCTTTTGAGGACGTGGGAGACATTGGGCAGGGCACAGAGGAAAGGGTTGGGTGTGATCACAATTTTTGCTTTCAATGTTTTCCTGAGGAAATCTGTACAACTGTCTTATTTCCGTGGCACATGAGGCTGCGTGTGCCCTGGGCCTGCACCGGAGTTGATTGCCAAGGGAGGACCCGATTTCCCCTTTACTTCCTTATGTTCCCCACCCCTTCTACTGGTCAGACCCGTCTCACCTAAACAATGCTCTTTCTGGCGTTAGTGCCCAATTTCCCCTCACCATCCCTCAAGGCTTAGTCACTGAGCCTCAGGAAAACCTCCCTCCGCCTTCATCCCTCCAGTCTAACCCCTCTTTTTGCAAGTACCGTTTTCCAAACCGTGTGGTGCAGGACTTTTTAAAACCTGTGCTGTCTTGACTTAAAATTGTTCAAGTTTGTAGTCCTGTCTCCCCAGGGAGACTGAACTCTCCGAAGGCAGGTTTGCCATTTGACACAGAACAGGGGCTGAAAAACCTTATCTTTCTTCCACTTAGATTCCCTTTAAACACCGATCCACTCCTCTTGTCAGGAGAACAATCTTAGTAGGGGTTAGAGGACTCCAGGGAAGTTCCTTTATGTCAGGTTCAGCTGATAAGGATCAAAAGGTCTTAAACCACTTTTTCATCCAGGTGAGTCTCCAGCTCAGTAAGAGGTGCTAAGGAAGCCCTCAGGGTTGGTGGTTGTGATTGGCAAGTCTCTCACAACTAGATCTCTTGTCCCTTGGACTTTCTGGTGGTTTGTATTGCGAAGTATGCATAAGAGACCCTGTAAAATTCAGGACAAGTGTATGTGTGTCTGTGTGTTCTGGGGGAGAGGGCTGTAATCTTGTTCTGACCTCTGCCTGATAAGAACCTGAACAGTAAGTGACAAAAAAGAGGGGCAGGCATTGAAATGTCTGTTTTTCTATTGCCAGTTTGATTCTTGCTTCCAAAGGCCAATCTGAGGCATTGCTGCTAACTCAATGGCATCCAACTGAAGCCTGATGTGCTTGGGTTTTTGCTGTTATGCACTGAGCTAGAATGCAGGGGACACAGTGCCCTTACCCAATTTCTGGGGAACTATACCACCAAGCACTTGTTGGTCAGAAGAGCTACGATTTTGCTTTATTTCAAGCTAATGTTTTAGAAGAATAGCATTTTTCAAACTGCAGAATGGGACCCAGTAGTGGATAGTGATGAATTTAGTGGGTACTGTGAGCTTCTTTCTTGAATGCAATAAAATAAAATGTAATAAAAGATATCAGTATGCCATATATAGTAATGCTAAGCACTGTTCTGTAAAACTTTAATTTTGATTATGCATATGTGTATATTCTGAGTTATGATGTAAAATGTATTTCTCTCTGTGGGTTAGGATCAAAGAATTTTGAAAGCTCCTGAGAGCAAAACTATCCTTAGATAGAAAAATAATCGCAAATATCCATTGTCAGCTCTGGATTTTCAGGAATGCATTGTCAAGGTAGGTTGTTAGAAGTTTTTAGTGAGGGTAGATAGCTATCTTCTGTAGAATTTTATTTGATCATTATCACCTGATAAGATAGAGTGGTTTCATTTCCTGGGGGCTACAATGAGTTAACCTTCCCAAACTTTTGTTAGACAGCTGGTCTTTAGGATGCTCCTCAAAATTCTATTTATGCAACATTTCAGTTTGCCTGAAGTGGCCTTAAACATTACATTTGCTTTTCTCTACCCTCCATTTCCAACTGAATAGTTCGCTCTCAGGTGGGCTTTCACGGCTTCCTTTGATCTGCCCTAGCCTCTCTCTCCACCCTGATCCCTCCTTGTTTCTTGTGGTAGGCAGCTGCTGAGACGGCTCCCAAAGAATGCCACCTCCTGGTAGTCATGCCCATTTGTAATCCCCTTTTCCTGTATATGGGTTGGACTAGTGCTGTGCTTCTAGTCAGCAAAAGTGATGGCATATGACTTCTAGGATTAGGTTACAAAAAGACTCTGGCTTCCATCTTATTCTCTCCCTCCTTTGCCTTGAGGGAAACCAGCTGCCATCTTGTGGACTGTCCTCTGGAAAGGCTCATGTGGCAAGGAACTATTGTCTCTGGCAACAGCGAGAGAGGATCTGAGGCCTGCCAAGAGTCACATGAGTAAGTTTATAAGCTGATCTCGTAGAGTTGAACCTTGAGATGACTCTGGCCCCAGCTGATACCTTAGTGAGAAGACCTAGCTAAGCGCAGCCTAGATTCCTGACCCAAAGAAAGACGTGATGATAAATGTTTGTTGTTTTAAGCTGCTAAATTTTGGCACTTAGCCAGAGATCATAAATACATTCTCTTTTGTATACCCTATGCTTTTGCCAAAAAGTATTGTTCCGTGTTCTCAACACAAACCATTTCCCATTCAAACTCTTCCTGCTGCTTGGAATGTTTTTCGTACCTCCTTTTCCCGGTCATTGCTATATATCTAAACTGTATCTTTCCTTTGAGGCCCAACTTAAATACCACACCTTTCACTAAGTTTTCTTTATTTGATACTTCCATTTGAAACTGATCTCATTCTGCTTTGAACTTACTGCTGTTTATGTATCGTTTTGTGGCACTTCTTTTTGTGTTGTCTATGTACTAGATATTATGTTACGATCTTTTCAGGGTAGAATCTGGCTAATCACACCCAGCCTTGTCACTTGGAAAAAGAGGGTACTTTTTGAATATATGGATGAATTAAATATGTTTTTTCTTTATAGTACCTATCACCACCTGAAATTTTGTTAAATATATTTATTTATTTACTTGTTTATTGTCTCCCTCACTAGAATGTAAACTCCATGAGGGCAGGGGTTTAATCTGCTTTGATCACTGTTAGCTCCAGTACCTACAACAGTGCCTGACAGTAATTTTTGTTGAATGAATAAATGCAGGAGTAAATAGTTTTGAGTTTCTCTAGGACCAGGAGGAAATATGTTATCTAATATGCCTTATATGATAGATGAACGTATTATCTAATATCATCCCTTACTGGCCAAAGCAGAACTCTTGACTTCCCTAGCAAAACTGTTCCTCTCTCAACTTTTCCAGTTTAGAAGAATAACACCACTATTCACGAGGAAGCTTAGGCTCCAGATCAAGGAGTCATCTTGTGCCCTCCTCTTCCTCAAATATCTAATCCATCAGTAAGTCTTAAGGACTCTGCCTCCAAATATATTCAGAATCCTGCCACTTCTTACCATCTCCACTGCTCTGCTCCCAGTCCAAGCGACCAGCACCCGTCTCCTGGATCACTGCAAGAGCCACAGCCTAGCTCATCTCTGGACTCCCATTCTTGGTGCTCAGTCCATTCTCCACCCAGCTGTCAGAAAGATCTCAGAACATAAATCACATCCCCGTTTAAAGGGATAAATTATTTCCCTGACTTAAAGCCCTCCAGTGACTTCTAACTGGATTCAGAATAAGATCTATATTCCTCACTCATCCTGGTCTTACTTGGTTGTGCTCCTGCCTGCCTCCTCAACCTCATCACCTACCGCTCTTTCCCTTTTCGCTATGTACTTTCCACATTGATTTCCTTTCTGTCCCTAAAACACGCTAAGTTATTCCCTTTTCAGGACTCCGCACTTGCTGTTTCTTCCACCTAGACATCTCCTTGCCTATATCTTTGTGTGGCTGCCTTCATTTAGGTCTCAGCTCAAATATCACCTCCTCAAAAAAAAATTTTCCTTGACCATCTCAGCAAAAGTTGCCACTTGCATGTAATCTCCATTTCCTCATTGTCTTATTTAATGTTTTATTGCATTTTTTCATGGTATGAAAACATATTATTTAATCATTTGTTTATTCGCTTATGATCTCCCCACCCCTTACCACATCTTCCCTCCCAAACCCCTTTCTGGAATGTTAACTCCATGAGGGAAAATCTTTTGTTTTGCTCACCATTGAATCTTCAGTGCCTAGAACAGTGCCCAAGACATAGAAGGAGTTTGTTGGGGAGGGGAAAATTCTTCCCTTCTACGCTTCTTGTGTTCTTATGGCTGGACTACTAAAAAAATTGACACAAGACCAGATTAATAGGAGAAAACCCAATTTAATCTATATGTATTGGAGATCATAGAGAAATGGTGCTCAGAGAGTGAACAAAGCAGGCAGTATATATCTCTCTTACACCAAAAAACAATAAATTGGTGAGGAATGAAACTTAGGTTTGAGGTATGTAATAAGAGAGGAAGATAAACAGAGTTTAGGCTTGAGGCAGTAAATTAGGAAGGTTTGTTTATGCAGGATTCTTGGCCCTGAATCCTCCAGCTCTGGGGATAAGGATGCCAGGAGAGCACGTTTCACATGGTAGAGTTATTTCCTGCTTTCAGGGGGGACAGAGACAGGAGTGTCAAAATTTTGGTCTTTTTTGCATTGGCTTCTTCTCAAGTAACTTTAATTCAAAATAATCAATATGCCATTGTGGGATATTTTGGGGTGGCCTGCCCTGGGCCCCAACAAGTTCACTAAGTGTTAGTTGAATTAGTACATTTAACTTTAACCCTCCGTGCCTAGCACGTAATAAACTGACTAAGCGTCTGTTGCAATGGCTTGATGGTGGAAAAGGACAGGTTTTTCTTGAGCCCAGTCTTCCATAAGCCACAAGCATGAGAACTGATTTCAAGACTTGCTTTCTAATGGCTTCCTTTCACCTAATTAATATGCCCATTTGCTATATACACAGCCTGACATTCTTGTCCACACAGTGTTATTCAAAATTCAAGTATGGACATTGGCATTATGGAGAAAAAGTGAAATTCTTCCCACTGCCTCCCGCCCATCTCCCTTCAAACCACACCCTTCCCTTTATTCCAATGACTTCCATGTTTTCTTAGTATTAATCTGTTCCAGGTTCCTCAACAAATGCCTCTTTATAGTCTTTTTTTTTCCTTCTTATCATTTTGTACATTTTATTCTTGGGATTATGTTTAATATGTGTTCAACAAATGAAGGGTTGTATTTATATTTGTAAGACAGCTCCCAAAGCCCAAAGCCATAGTATTAACTTCGTCAGCACACTGGTGCCATTAGTATGTTTTTCTGGTGTTGAGGTATACTCTGTTAGGTAGCAATTGCTGTGTAACAAATTATTCCAAAATGTAGCGACTGAAACTCTCAAAGTTTCTATGAATCAATAATTCAAGAGCTGTTCAGTTGTGTGTTTTGGCTTGGAGTCTCTTAAGAGGTTGTCGTCAGCAGACAGCTAGGTCTGTAGTTATCTGATGGCCTGACTGCAGCTGGAAGATCTGTTTCCAAGGTCACTCACTCACATGCTGGCAAGTTGGTGCTGGCTAGTTGGTTCCTCTCCAAGAAAGCTTCTTCACAAGCCTGATTGAGTGTCCTCATGACATGGCAGCTGGTTTAGCCCAGAGCAAGTGATCCAAGAAAGATCAAGGCAGAAGCTGTAATGCCTTTATAAACTAGCCTTGGAAATCACACTTTATATTTCCACCATATTCTTAGTCACAAAGGCAAGCCCTGAGTCAGCGTAGGAGTGGACTATACAAAGATGTAAATACCAGGAAGTGGGGGTCATTAGGGGCCATTCTGGAGGCTGGCTATCATAGCAAAGTTGTCAGCAGAAGAAAACTTTTTATTGCAAGAAACACAATATGCAATTAATAATAAGCACATTTTCTAGCTCATATAATGGGAAATCTACAGATAGGGCAGTCCTAGGGTTAATTCTTGGCCTTGAAAATCTCCTCAAAGATTGAGAGCTCACCATCTTTTCACTCTGACATCTTTGGCATGCTGGAGATGTCTCCTGTCACAGTCACACATTGGCTGCTGTGGTTTCAGGACTCACGTGCAGACAGGAACACATCCACTGAAAACGAAAGGGGTGTCAATTCTGTGAGTCCATTTTATTATGAGAGAGAATATTTCCTGGAAATACTGCTGTAGTCTCAGATCCTATTGTCCTGAAGTAGGTAACACAGTCATGCATAAAAAACACATTGTATTTGAATCCATACGTTGGCAAGCATTCATGTTTTGTAAGTGCACACCTCATTTCTCAGCTAGAAAAAGAAAATTATGGTGCCCACAGAAACTCAACTTTAAAAAAAACTTTAGAAATATTTAGATAGTTTTACAGACATTTTAATATAAATTTATTCAAATCTATCAGGATTGTAGAACTTCCGAGAGTGTCAGTAGTTTGTTTTTCTCATCTCCTCCCCCAAAAAAGGGGGAAGGAATGGCTTAACTAGTGAACTTTTTGTAGTATTTATCCACTGGTCTTTTCATGTGACCTGGGAATGGTCCATTTTTCTAGGTGTGGTATAATACTAACGAATGTGAATGAAAACAGCGTCAGAAAGATGAAGGATTTATTGACCATGATTCTTTCACTGAGTAAATTGACACCTGCTAATTAGCAATAAGTGGCTTGGAAAGTGAAATGCGAAAGCAAAATCATAGATGTGAGCTCTCACACACATGCTTATGGTTTATTCGGAATGTGCCAAGGTTACACTAAGGATCAAGAATTAACCTAGAAAACAAGATGTATATATACTTAGAGAAAAGATTGATACGTTTTATCGAATAGTAAACTATGCTCCGTTCTTTTGAAAAATTAACATTTTCAGGCTTTTACAATTTTCGAAAATACGGTGATTTAAAAATACCTTTATTTTTACACTTCTTAATAGTTAGTGGTCTGTTTTTTTGTCCAAAGGGAAATGACAGGGACTGAATGATGTGTTTCATTCAAAACCCTCCTGGTCCACAGTGGACTTTCATTCCTGGCCTTCAGTCCGTTTCTGGATCGTTGTTTGCCCAGGGCTAAGATACTGAAATAGGGATTTATTAAAATATACCTGCCATTCTGGTTCTTAGATGGAAAGCATTTTAATATCTGGGCTTGGTTCTGGGATCTTTACTCAGGTAAAACTCCCACTGTTTTGCCTGGAATCTTTGGCACCTTGTGTCTGATGAAGACGCCAGCATCCAGTTCCAAGCAATCTCATTTTAGGGCACTTGGCGCTAATACCACTTCTCCACCCTCTCTGCTTTCAGTGACACCCGCCCAAAGGGACAGTCTAGAACCAGCCAGGCTCTGAAACTGTTAAATATGCTTGTTTTCTTGAGGTGAACCACGTGCATAACACACCCCTTTTGAATGAAATAATGTCATTGTGTAGCCATTTGTCACCCCTGGGTGGATGAGGTCAACAAACTCCCCAGAGTTGCTGTTTCAGGAATAAATTTTATTCGTGGTTGGAAAAACTAAGTGGGGAATGTTATGGGACAGGGTAAATAACTCGTTTATTTTCCTGGTGGTGAAGTGGGGTTAAGTAAAACACAATGGGGCCGTGTAAATGCTTTGTGTGAACGACGACACAGTGCGTTAAACGAGTAGAAGACAGGCGCCCATCAGAACTGTCCTGTCCCTTTGTCTTCCACTCCACCAGGGAGGCGGCGCGGCCCGGTGTCATGCGGAGCTGAGGTGGCGGGCCTGAGGGGGCTGCGGCGCCCCAGAGGAGAAGGCGGAGGCGCCAGGACGCCGCTCCTCGCCCCTCAGGATGCCAGCCAGGCACGCAAGGTCGGGGGCAAGGCCGCGCGGCGGCGCGGCGCTTCCAGACGCGGCGCGAAGGAAACGAGGGCAGCCAGCCTGCGGGCTCGCGGCGCGGGCGGCGCCAGCCTGGAGGGCTGCAGCGGGCGGGGCGCGCGCGGCTCGGCGCCGGGGGAGGAAGGCACCTCCGCAGGGGCGGGGCCGGGCCTCGGCCGGAAGGCGGGGCGGGGGCGCGGACGGGAGGGGGGCGACGGGGCGGGGAGGCGGGGCCTCGGGTGCGCAGCCGCAGTAGGTCTCAGGAAATTTTCCACTCAGTTTCGGAGCGCCGGGGCTGCCGAGGCGCAACCCGCCTCTGCGCGCCCGGGGCCCACGTGACCGTGAGTCACAGGCGCCGCCTCCGGAGCCCCGGGGCGGGGAAGCGGAGGGGAGAGGAGGGAGTCAGAAGCGAAGGAGGAGGGGGAGGAGGGGATTGGAGGGAAACCGGAGGAGAGGAAGAGGAAGGGGGAGGGGTGGAAGGAGAGGAGAGAAGTGATAAGTGATGGGGTGGGGGGATGGAGGTGATGGGGGGGCCCGAGAGGAGAGGTGGAGGAGAGAGGATCCTGGAGGTGCGGAGGCACTGGCCTTTCTCAGCCCCGCCAACGCCTCCTCCCGCCGAGGTGGGCCAGCTGGGAGGCTGCCAAGTGCGCGCCCGCCGGGCTCGCCCCGGGCGCGCCCAGCGCTCGCCGGCGACGTGGAAAACCTCGAGAGTCTTAAGACGTCAGGGCGAATCGCGGGGTGCTTTGGGGAACGCCGCACGGGGGCCTCGGGGTCCCGCGGAGTTTTTGCGGACGCACCAGGCCGCGTCGGGATGCCCCGCTCGGGAGGCCGCAGCCTGGGGGACGCTCACACTCTGTTGGCATCTGTCCGCGCCTGTGTACGTGGCTCTTGACGTGGAGAGCTGTGCCTGTGGACAGCGTGCACCGGAGGGAGGGACGAAAGGATGAGGCCTTGGCCCAACCTCTGTGCCCTGGGAGTCCCAAAGCCACTGCTATTTGTCAGATTAACCCCCCAGACCCACGAGGAAATCCTTGAGGCTTCTGGGAACGTGGGATTTGTAGTGCCGCTGGTTCCAGATGGTTCCTCCTTCAGACTTTGGCAAATCGGCATCCCAAAGATTTCCTCTTATCCTTCTGCTGTGTTGAGCAGACATTACCCAGACACGGCGCCCGGATCTCTGCTCTTGTAAGGAAACATTTATTACAGAAGTCTTCCAACTATTTCATCTCTCGTGTCCTTTTGGGTTCTTTCTAGTAATTGTGACCTTTTCCTTTTCCTCGAGTCATTCCATCAAAGCCTGCGAAGTGAATTAAAAAAAAAAAAACTAGCCTGAATTAGAACGTTAAGGTCTTTGTTTACCAACTGCGTTGTGTGGGAAGAAGCGTTGTGGCTTTGCCCTTGAGGTTTCCTCAAACCTTTTCCGGGGGGCGCTCTCTCCCCCCAACCTGGAGGCCAAACTACAGACTAGAGGAAGCCGGCGAACCTGCTGATGTCCCTTATTTTCCACACTGGTTTAAACTTTTTCACTAGAACTGTGTGTATCGTTTTCTCCTAGGTTTCTGCAATTAGAATTATTGTAATTACTAAGAATAGCTAATATTCATGTAGTGCTTAGGGCAGGCACTATTTTAAGTTCTTTATAAACATGTGAATATTGAATTTTGTCATCCACTCTGTGAGGTAGGGGCTATTATTGTGTCTTTTTCCATCTTCGTTCATTCCGTTCATAAGGAAACTGAGGCAAGGATAAGTTAGATAACTTCCCCAGGGCCATCCAGCCTGCAAGTAGAGGAACTGGAATCCAACCCAGGCTGTGGGAGGTAAATCCCATGCTGTGGTCACTATGCTATAGAAATTCCCTATTAACAAACATAATTGTATTGAAATGTTAAATTTACATTTTGGTAGGTTTGTTCCCTTTTATTTATTTAGCCTTCCTGAAGTTTATTTTGGAGAGATGTCTAAATTTAGTTTGGATAGAAAAACCACACACAACTTAGAAAAGAAACTCTTATGAAGAAATCATGCATCCAAGGCAGCATTACATTTTTCTGACGTGGAAGATTATTGAAATATTTGACCTAGGAACTCATTTTAATCAGGAGAAAGGTCTGTCTTCATATACCTTTAGCCCTGGTATATGGTAAACTCTCTAGGAAAATGACGATGAGGCTTTTTTTTTTTTAAAATTAAGATTATGATAGTTAACAACCTTGTGAAATTACAGTTGTACATCATTATTAGTCATGTTGTAGGTACACCACTTCACCCCTAGTGCCCTCCTCCCACCCCCCCTTTCCCCTGGTAACCACCGATCAGTTCTCTTTGTCCATATGTTAACTACCACCTATGAGTGGAGTCATACAGAGTTCGTCTTTCTCTGTCTGGCTTATTTCACTCAACATAATACCCTGACGATGAGGCTTTTAATCATCAGTGTTCGATAAATATAAATTGATTCAAATGTACTCAAGAAGTGATCAAGAAGTCTACCTTGAAGTGGTCGATGACATAATGTCAAATGAAAGGAAATTTCCAAAAGAAACATAAACATAGGATCAATTCAATAGGAAGATGCTACAAGGCTTTTTTTTCTGCCCTTCTGGAACGTTCTTTTCTGTTCTTGAAATCTTCCCCGACACACCAAGACTGGGTTAGAAGCCTTCTGTGTTCTTTTGTGGCTCTCAGAGTCTGCACCTGTGGTGACACTTACCACATTGTCTTCTCATTGGTGGTTCACGTGGCTCTGCCTCCCAGGAGATTCTTAAGTTTCCTGAAGGGTGGCCCTGCTGTCCTGCTCAACAGTGTGTCCCCAGAGCTCAGCACAGTTGTTTATGCTGAAATAGGAATTCAGCAATACTGGTTAAAAGGATGAGTTTACTTGTCAGCCTTATCTTGTTAGGATGTACTGAATTGGGATTTAACAGAAACAGTGAGACCAGTGTAACCTTGGAAACACAGTCTCTGTCCACTCTTGGTCCATACTGAGCTCCCTCCCCTTCCCTCCTTTCTTACATTTCCTTGCATTCTTTTTACATACCTGTCTGTCTCTACCACTAGATATAAACTGCCCAAGGCCAGGGATGTACATTTTCTTTGAGTGTGTATATATCCCATTGCCCCAATTGTTATTTTGCACAAAGTAGTTTTTTGATGTTTATTAAGTAAGAACAAAAACCACCTCTGAAAAATTCTGTGTCCTGTTAGCTAACTTGATTTCAGCACCCAATGAATGGTGAGAGGTTTAATAACCAAGGCCTTAATCCTGATCTTACAATTTGGGTTTTTTAGAATGAGAGTCAGGACTTGTTTTTTTATTGCTGAAGGAGACCTTCTAATTGCTCTGTCCAATACACAGCCACTAGCCACACAAGGCTATTTAAATTAAAATTAAAGGAAATTAACAATTAAGTTCCTCAGTAGCATTAGCTAAATTTCAAGTGCTCAATAGCCATGTGTGACTAGTCTATTGGACAGCACTGATATAGATATTTCCATTATTGCAGGAAGTTTTATTGGACAGAGCTGAGAAGTTACAAAAAATTAGATAAAAGAGCAGTTTTATTAGCTTAACTGTATCATTTTTTTTTAAGATTTTATTTTTTTCCTTTTTCTCCCCAAAGCCCCCTGGTACATAGTTGTATATTCTTTGCTGTGGGTCCTTCTAGTTGTGGCATGTGGGACGCTGCCTCAGCATGGTTTGATGAACAGTGCCATGTCCGCGCCCAGGATTTGAACCAATGAAACACTGGGCTGTGTGCAGTGGAACGCGTGAATTTAACCACTTGGCCACGGGGCCAGCCCCTGTATCATTATTATTAAAAAATATTTCATATTCCTTAGCATAAGATTGTTCTTTTATGTACAAAGAACATCATTTTCATATTTCACTTTGTTATTTCATATATGAGGAAATTTTCTTACTTAACAGTTGTGTTTAAGTTAATAGACATTTAAACATATTCAGAAGTACTGATGGTTCAAAAGGATTCCTCTTGTATTTCCCTAAAAGTGACTGTTTATCCCAGTTGATCCTTTGTGAATTTTAATTTTTTTCTGTTTAAAAACACTCTAATCTTTGAGTCACTTCTCAACTTTGACATTCATTAGATTCGGCTGTATGTTTTAAGCTCCCACGATTGGGAAACTAGAACACTCAGTAATGTTGGTAAAGGACAAATGCCAGATAGTTTTGGACTGACCAAATATATATTTAATGACATCACACATGTAATACAGACAGTTCTCCATTTATAAACACTCTATTCAGAAGTGGCCCAAATGTAAAACATCCTGGTGTACCTTCTTTAAACTCCTCCTTAGAACAATATCAAGGTAGCTGTTGTACAAACAAATAAATAAATAAATAAATAAATTGTGGAATTCTCGGAGGATGTATAGCTTGAGTTGTGGAGGCGATAAAGAAGCTGTGAAAACCCTGGGGAGTTAGTCGAGGTTATTTCCACAGTCGTGCAAATTTGCTTAAGTGGTAACCCCCTGACAAAAATAGTCCAGTTCCATCTCTCCCCACCAGGCCCCGCCCCTCCTTGCTGAACATCTCTCCCACTCTCCTCGTCTTTTAAAATTCTCCAGTTTCATTTGTACTCCAGGTCCAGTTCTGTCCATTCAAACTTTTGTGGCCTTGGGCAGGCTTGCTAGCTTCTCTGAGCCTCAGTTTCCTAAACTGTAAAATAGGAATAATAACATGCCGATTGTCAAGAATTAAAGGAAAATTTATGTGAAAATACTTTATAGGTTTGAAAACTAATATGAAAACAAAAGATTATGATTATTTATAGTAATAAAACTCAAAGACATCCTACAAATCAAATGGCCATCAGTCACATGCCCTTAATGGGAATCAGGTTCGTCAGAATAGTTAAGCCAGTTGATGGTTTGAAGGTTCCTTGCTGGGGTGGAGGGTGGGTGTTGTGGGAGGTGGAAGAAAAATTTGAAAAAGGAGATGGAAGGCTGTGAAAAAATAGTTCAAATTTGGAAGCAGGTTGGGTAAATACCACCTTTTCCTTTAAGGAATGAATGTAAGTCCTTGCGTTTTCTCTCTACTTCCTTTTTGTGATTCATTGATTATTCCTAAGGCTAAAGTTTCTACTTTACATTCTAATTCGTCTGACATGGCATGTTTTTAAAAACTTAGTGTTGCTTGCTCTGATTTTCCAGTTGTCTTTTGCTGATGGAGCTTCTGTGAAGGGCAAATTCGAAATACAGTTGGCTGCCCCAGCACAGGGGTAGGGAAGTGGTGGTTGTGGTCGTGGGAGGACCTAGGTTTTAGCTGTCAGAGAAGCAGTGCCAGTCCTAGCCATTAGCTGACCTAAGGCAGAGGCAGCAGTAGTTAGATCAGACCAAATCAAACCAAACCAAGCACAAACAAACAAACAAGAGGGAGCGGGGAGAGAAAGAGAGAGAGAGAAGAGGGGAGTGGAGGTGGGTGAAGAGGCAGGGAAGGCACCAGGGAAGGATGGATAACATCAGGAGTTCTAAGCACAGAACATGTATCAACCCCTTTAAGCCTCCTGGCAATCATGGCAATGTAGTAAGCACTATTATTATTATTATTATCTCTATCTGATAGATGAGGAAATTGAGACGTGGAGATGTTGAGCAACTATTCACAATGTCACAACTCCTAAGTGGTAGAAGTGGGACTTGAACTCAGCCAGTCTGACCCTGGAGTTTGTGATCTTAACCACTACACTAGCAGTTCTCAAACTTCTTGGTCTTAGGAGCCCCCCTGCCCCTGCTTGCGGGTTATATCTATTTATGTGGGTATAATTGAGGACCACAAAGAGTTTTGTTTGGGTGGGTTATATCTATTGATAGTTACCATATTAGAAATTGAGTCATATTTAATTCATTTAAAAATAATGAACTCATATTATGCTAACACAGATAACATTTTAAAGTGAGAATAGCTGTATTTCTCAAAATGAAAAAAATTTAGGCAGAAGAATGCCATCGTTTTTACAGTTTTGCAGATTTCTGCACTGTACCATGTGTCTTTTGGTGTGACAGTGGTTAAGAAGAGGGAAGAAATGAGAGAGACTGATGGGTGTAGATGATGGGAACTCCAAGCCTGTCGCAGTGAGCACCCTGTGAGGCCTGTGTGAGGAAGAAATGATAACTAAAGAACTGTCTCTGAATATCGTGGAGCAGCATCTGGATCTTCA